TATATATGGAATAAGTAAGTTTGACTGCACATAGAAAACAGTGAAAAATAGACAAATGAATTTGGTAGAACAGTATTGTAGAAAGCATCTAAAATAGCCCTAAAGTATTCTTGTTTCCTGTTATTCACTCCTTTGTATAATCCTTTCATTTGACTACAAACTAAACTCACTTATTTTTCCCTAATCTAAGTATTCAGAGATGAGGTTATAAAAACACTGTGGCTTCTGTTTTGAGGATGCACTCATGTTCTAATACTCAGTCTGGTGCTTTATAGATAGACCTCCCTGGCAAGGAACAGATAAATGCCTCTTAAGTTGACCACTGGCAAGGCCCTCAAGCTCCCAACACCCATGTGACCTAGCTTGGAAGCAGATTATCTATAACCTGAGGTGACATCAGTCACTGTCTTTACACATATATCTTTACACTTGTGAAAAACTCTAAGCTAAACTGCATTCCAATTTCTGAGTCACAGAAACTGGGGGGGGGTACTGTTCAAAGTCTTGGTGTTTTGGTGTAATCTGTTATGCAGTGACAGATAGGTAACATAAAGGTCTTGTATTCTGGACATACTCAACAAGACACCCAGATGGGCCTTGGGATGTAGCTCAGATATTCATTTACTCTTTTATGGTATAATCCCCAAGTATGGGGATAGAAAGAGGGAAGAGAAAAGAGAGAGCCATCTCCCAACAATTGAGTAACATCATAACCCTGGAATAGGCAATGCCTGCTTCTGTTTTGCATTGCTATAACAAACTATTCAATGGTGGGTAGTATATAAAGAAGAGATTTATTTAGCTTGCGCTTTTGAAGCTTTGAAAATTCAAGATTGACCAGACTTTGGTGAGGGCCTGTGGCTGCATTACAACATGGCAGATGGCATCATTGCAAAAACATGAGAGGCAAGGAGTATGTCCAGAAAAGTTCACGTCGCAAAAAGCAATAAGATAATGGTGAAGGTCTAAGCTTCTCTCTTTTATAACAGCTCTTCCCTTGGGAATGAATCCACTCCTACCTGGCCCAGACCGCTACATGACTAATACATTCAGGACCTAACCACCTTCATCTTCTCAATATTGAGAACCTCACTCAGGACCAAGCTTGTAACACATGAACCTTTGTGGAAAAAGCCACACCCAAATAATAGCAGTCATCTTCCCAGAAGTCGGCTGGTACACTTAATGTCCATCATGGAAGGAAGAGGGAGACATTGGGGCCGAAACCCAGAGATTAGGAGGCCTTTGTTGGAAAGTAGCCATGTCAGTCTGAGACAGTGTCTGAAGAATTTAGCTTGCCTGAGGACAGAGTAGGAAAAAGTGGCTCTTGCTTTGCACACACAGTGAGAGGCAAGGTAGGCAGGAATCTTTTCAGTATTAAATGCTGAAATATCTACACTGTGTTCAGTATGCTCAATTATTTAATTGTATTTTATACCCTGTGTTCATTTGTTGTCTATTTGTCTGCAGCACTTTACAAAGATTTGAAATATTTCTTTTCCTGGTCTCAACAGTACTCCATGGAATTAGGAATCAAAAGATTGAGCCACAGTATCAAAGGGGCAACAGTGCCCCCTGGAGGCCACAGTGTCAATATCAAGAGCCCCCCACCCCCAGCCTTGGAAATTAGGCTAGCCAGGGGATACAGCAGGGTTCTTATAAATACTTGATAAAAGAAGTCTTTTTTTTTTTTTTTTTTAATTTAAAGTCCTTACTTGGGAGAAGGCTGGCCAAATAGCTCAGCGGATTAAAGCTCCTGCAAACAGGCCAAATAGTCAGCAGGGCTGGGGGTTTGATTCCCGGGCCTGCCATGCCGGCCCCACCCCTGGGGTGCGCTGAGATGACAATTAAGACTGGGCATGGTGGTGCACACCTGCCATCCCAGCATTTGGGAGGCTGTAAACAGGTGGATCACTGCAAGTCCGATCTAGTAGTCAGACCTTGAACAACTTGTAGACCCTTCCCTAAAAAATAATTTTAAAAAAAGTCCTTAATTGGTATGATGATTGAAAATATAGATGTTTGATGATTACACATTGTGTATACATGCATTGAATTACCATAATGTATCTCATAAAGATGTGCAAATATTATATCCCAACAAAAAGTGAAATAAGTAAATATACAAATCTATATGGAAGTTTTTTTCTTTTTTCTTTCTTTTTTTTTTTTTTTGCAGAACCAGGGATTGAACTCAGATCCTTCCATTTGCCAGTCAAGCACTTATCCTACGGAGCCATCTCCCCGGCCCCTTATTTCTTAACACACTAAAAAATTTTTTTTCTCTGAAAAATATAGTCATTAAGAACATGGGCTTTGAGGGCCAGCCAGATAGCTCAGTGGATTAAAGCGCCTGTTTAGGCAGACACAGGGGCCAGGGTTCCAGCCCCAGAGTGCCATGCTGTGCCTTGCAGTGCTGTGCCCGCCCCACCCCTCAGGTGCAGTGAGCCTGCGCATGGTGGCCCCTGCCTGTGATCACAGCTCCCGGCTGGATTGGGAGGCTGAAAACAAGAGAATCACTACAAGCGCGATCCGTGTAGTGAGATCCTGTAGACTCTGTAATAAATACAAAAAAAAAAAAGGAAAATGGGCTTTGGAATTTGACAAGCTTCCCTTTTGTTAGTTGTATGCATCTAGACAAATTGGTAAGTCTGCATCTATAAAATGAAGATATTCCATTATATCATACTGAGGATAAAATGAGATTATATATATATATATGCTTTACCATAAGATGTAAGCTAATATAAATAGAGGGAAGGAAAAGTAGGAGCAAGAAAATCCAAGAATATTTGTGAAAGTATCAGACAAAAGAACAAAATCTTTAAAAACTTTTCCACCTTTCTCTTTCTCCTTCTCTTCTCTCATTATTAAATATATAACATTACTAGTCTACTGGATAAATGGCCAAAAGTTGCCTTGGATTACCTGAGACATGTAATCCGCACCCAGCTGGAACATAGGGCACACTACTATTGAGCTATGTTCTCCTTTATGTTTTATTTTGAGACAGAGTCTAACTAAGTTTCCCAGGCTGGCCCTGAACGTGCCATCTTCCAACCTGAGCCTCCTGATTACCTAGAATTACCAACCACATTGCTTGACTTGGAAGTTAAATTTTTAGGGGGCTGGCTCAGCCCACCCTGAGGGCAGGGCTGGCATGGCATATGGTGCCAGGATTGAACTGCGTAGTGCCTTGCGCCTGCCTCAGCTTGCCTAACCAGGAACTTTAGAATGCTGAGCTATCTCGCCACCCCAGGAAGTTAACTTTTGATTACATAATTTTCGGTAAAAATGTTAGCTATATTACAATTAGAATTATATAGTGTATTTGTTACTGGAAATAAAGAAAATTACAGACACTGAAAGTAATGACGGGAATTTACATACTTGAACAGGCCAACTCATTTTGGAGTGAAAGGAAGAGCTGTCTTGTTAAAGTTTGTACTCACACAGGCCTCATCACAAAGATTTTCTAAACTTTTACGTACCTGTAAGTTACACACTTATAAATCACTGGGAGTCTTACAATCTACCAGATAGCTTTTGTAATACTTACTAGAATCTTCATTGGTGACCCACAATTGAGTAATGATAAAAATATGAGCTTGATTCTAGTTCCATTTATATGGAATTTATGATTTTTTTAGGTTAATCACATAATCTCCTCAAGTTTCTGTTTCCTCATCTCCAAAATGTATCAAA